CCTTTACAATAAAAAAAATGAGAGAAATACTATCATCATTTTTGTGACGGTCAACAAAAACAATAACAATGATTTTGCTAAGCATCTATTATTATCAACATGAACTGTAAAAGGAAAGTTTTGAAACATTTCACACAGGATAATAATCATCTTTCCCCAATTATTCATTCAAAAATATTTTGCATGCCTCCTGTGTGCTTTCCCTCTGTGATCAAACTTGGTTTTGCAGTGAGAAGCAATAGACATGGGTCCCTGCTGGTATGGAACCTTCCTGGAATGCTATGGATCAAAATCAGTGTCTTTGTTGCATTTCTCTAATGTGATAGATTGTGAATGACAAGGCAGGTTCTTACTGGCATCCATGTTTTTCCTTCCAGCAATTAACCTTTTATAAGGATTTCCATTCAGGGCATTGACTTGTTGTATGCAGATTATTGGCAGCCATGAGTCACCGACTGACTACTAACTACTAAGTGTTCTTAGAAATAGCATCAGTTCCTTCATGATCCTTGACAAAAAAAGATGCTATAAGGAATAATGAGTTTTTCTCATTCTAAAGAAGTATCAAGTAACTGACCATTGGAATCTAAAAACCTTTTGCCATTTGATTGAATATGTATCCTTTGCTTTTCTGTGAAGTAAATGTTTTCCCAATTAGGCTTCAAAATGTGAATTTTTCTTACAAAATTGATTTTCTATTAAGGCACTAAAGTAGCTTCTCTTCCCTTCTGCTTGGATACTAATTAAATTATGTTGCAACTTGTTTTAATTCAGCAATCAATTTTTTTTTCCATTTGCACTGGATTACAGAATCTCATTTAAAAATCAGTCTTTAATGAATTTTACACAAAGCAGAAGTGATAGACATATTCTCTCATGGAGACAAAACAGTACTGGTCAAGTTATGAGAAACACTCGCTCAGAAAAGAAAAAAAAAAGGACTCAAGTTGTATTCTGGTGGTAGTATCTAATTTATTTCTTTTTTCCTTTTTCTTTTGAAATAAGTATTACTGGAAGGCATGGGGATATAAAAGAAGAACAAAATACTAAAATAGGAACAAAATACTAATATAAAAATACTAAGATAGGAAAAAATACTAAAAAAAGAACAAAATACTAAGATAAAAATGCCAAGATAAGTAGTACTGGTGATTGAAAAAATATACTAAATGCTTTGAAGAGGTTCTTGACTCTGGGGTGCAGGACTGAGACAATTTCTAAAATGATTATAAATAAAATTTACATATAAAAAATGGAGGCATGGCTATTGGTTGTAACATTTGAAGTATTTAAGTGAACGTAGTAAATGAAAGGATTATTCTAAAAGCCTGAAGGTTGGTTTCAGGTTTGACTTGTGGGTGGAGCAATGGAAGAACTGAATATACTAATTATAAAGAATGATTTTTGAGGCCCTATAATGAGAAGGGGAAAATGAAGAAAACATAAATGTCTCTCAAAACTCAGAGGATATACATTTATATTTAAAAAACACACACAAAAGAAATATAAAGATATAGCTGTCTGTAAGGTCAAATTCTGTGTTCATCTGTTGGGAGGTGGGGAGGTGGAAGGAGAGAAAGTGGTCAATCAAGTAACCTAAATATGGCAAGTGAACCTAAGCAAGTCAGGTGGCTCTGAGTATGTTATATAGAAAAATGTTGTTAAGTCAGAATGGAAAGCTCACCATAGATGTTTTCACCAGGGGCTAGAACCTAATAGGGGGAACAGTGTGCTTGTTTATAGCTCTTCCTGGCAGCTTCTCTCTTCAACACTCCCTGTATTTATATACATATGTACGTAGCTATGATTTTGTTTACTTATTTAGTTATGTTTTCCTTTATTTTATTTTTTTCTAACATCATTTATTCCCCCTATACCATCTTCCATCCATTTTAAACATATACTTAGTAACTTCTAGATAAGGCTCCTTCCCATTTTTTTCTAAGTTATTTGCACACTTAAATGATCATTAAAATTACAATTCTTTCACTTACATAATCACTTCATCTTATGACTTTTATGTTTTTCAACTTTCTGGCAACATTCTATCAAAAACACTGGGTTGGAACTCAGTGCATTGGGTTAACCCATTTAAGTCCAAGTCTCTACCCAAATAGACTACCATGGTTAGTGGCTCTGTTGTAGATTCCAAAACTATTTCTTGAATTCTTTTTTCTCATTTTCTTTAATATCTTTAACTCCTTATGACAATAAAAATATTTTTTTGCACAGATGGAAACAAGCTAAAGTCATGAACAGAATTGCTCATGTAAAATGGAAAAATAAATTTTTAAAATCACGAGAACTAAAGTCCACCTAAGACTTCAATTTATTCATGCAACTAGGATTTTTGGCAGTTAATGGGAGTATGAAAAGATAGAGCACATATCAGTGAGAATCAGTAATTCTTCAGATATAAAATGTAATTGGAATCTGACTTCATTTAGTATGAGAAAGTTTATACCCAACTCTAGTCATCCACTGATACTTTGTAAACTAGACATCTATTTCATGATGCTCTCCAGATCATGATAAAAGGAAATAGTCACTCAACTGAAAACCAAAAATTACTATTCCCGAGTAGATAGTAAAGGGGAAAAACTCCAGAGTTTAAAGATATGATTGTAGAATTATTTCCCATTAAAAACTTACAGAGACTTTCAATAAGTACAAAGCTGGTAAGAAAAAGAATAGAGAAGTAGATATAGATATATAGTGGGAAAATGGAGGAGTGAATGGGGCAATGTAAAACAGGAGAAAGAGAACAATAGGCTTGTTTACTGAGCACTTATTACATACTGGAACTTGATACTCTAGCCCACTTAATCTGTAAAATAAAAGGTAGATAATGTACGGCCCCTTTCTAGATTAAAAAACTGAATTTAGAGAGCTTAAGTGATTTACCCAGTGTCTCCAAGCTGGTAGATTGGTCAGTATTGAAAGCCAGGAGTTGTTCTTTAGATAGGACTTTATTCAGAAACCAGTCTAGCTGGCAATCAGTAAGGCAAAGATTGGAATGAAGGAGAAAAAGGGGACAACACTAAACTCCACAAGATAGAAACGGTATTGATCATTTTCACTTTTTTTTAAACATCTACTACAGCTCCTGTCTAGCAGGCATAATAGATACTTGCATAATGAATATTTTTTAATAAATTGGGTGAAAAGAGTCTTAGGGGAGAAAGAGAAAGAAATACGGAAAGAGAAAGAGGGCAGCTTAAGGCGTGAGAATGTGATTCCTTTGGCGCAGTCAGCCTATCCTGGATTCTTGAGTCCAACCAAACCTGTCAGCTTAGTGTCAAGCCTCAAACTCGGCCAATATTCAAAGAATTTTTGAAAGAAAAAAATTATTTGATGGCATGCATCCCTTTCACTCAAGGAATATACCAACTTTACAGAAACCCACTGGGGTTTGATGTTGGAATTCCAGGCCACTTGATAGTTACTAAATGGAGGCCAGTAGTGTGAGCCATGCAGTCTGGCCGGATGGGCATTGTGAAACACAAGTAGATTATATTCCGATATTTAACCAACAAACCAACCAAAAACCAGTCAATTAATAACCAATTAGTTAATAAATATTTGTTGTGGTCCCACTTTGCTAACCCCTAGAACTGAGCAATTTGTACAGAATCAAACATTTCAATAAAATATAAAAATTCAATGAAATAGCTCATGTTTCTGTTTTCATAACAGATGTTCAATGTAAAGTTGATGTTCTACTCATAGGTAAGAGCTACTTATAAAAATCATAAAATTTAAAAACTCAGTATTACCTTTGGGTTGCTCTTGAAAGTCCACAGTAGGGCTAAATCTATCTCAGTATCCCAGAATCTAATTTTGACTAACTTATTTGGTTATGTTATATATATTTCCTTCCAAAAAGAAAGCAGAGCTTAACTCCAATAATTTTGACTCCTTTTGTACAACCAAATAACTTTAGAGCACTATTAAAATTCAGTTTCTGTATAGCAATCACAAGTCTGTTCTAAAACCTCATGTCACTGTATTGACCACAGAAAACCTCAGGCTGAGAGGATTTCCAGGTGAGGGGCTTGGCTGAGTTTCTCGGAAGGCTTGGGCCACTCGCTGACCTCCCTGGTAGTCTGAAAGTGACCACATCTATGGAATCCTTGGTGGTCCTAAATAATGGAGGCTATTGGCAATCTCTTGGGTAATTATAAACTCATGTCAGGATCCAAAAAATGACTGCAAAAGGCATTGCTTTAGAGTTCAGAGAAGCTAGGAGTTGTTTGCCTTTCTGGTATTGGCCTATTGAGACTTTATCACAGAAAAATGCCAGTGCCAGGCAGGCATAGCATAATCCAATAGAACTGATTATTATGCAGTTTAAATGCACTAAGAATATTGAACTTCCCTTTTTAAATCACAGAAAAACCCTGGGTTAAACTATTCAAGCTGGGAGGAAACAATGTGAAGACTACTATAAAAATGTGAGCCATTTAAAAAATGGATTTAATATCAGCCCTTGTGAATTATATTTGATGTTTCACCCATCATGCTCTGATATCTTCAGGAGAAACAATGAACTGTCTGTGATATCCAGACATAATCAAGGAAAAAGTGCCATTTTATTTCTATTTAATAGCTAGAAAACCTATGTAGCAATACAGAATGATTGTGGCAAAATACAAAGAATAAGATGATAGTTTACTGTCGTTCTGAAGAAGTACATGTGTGATAAGCTTTTAAAAGTGTGTGTGTGTGTGTGTGTGTGTGTGTGTGTGTGTGTGTGTGTCTGTCCCTTTAGGGAGTTGTCGATAGACTCGGTATACAAACCTTTCTCTTTTCTTTCAAATAACACCCAGAAGACCTGTGTATTTTCTAATGAGGTTATGCAGTCCCCTGACCCTATTTTGCCAGCTGTCAGCAGCTGGACGCCCACATCATTCTGTAAAGAGCAGCTCTCAGTAGGTTATTACGTGAGTGGAACTGGTGAGTACAGTTTGTCATCTTCGAAATGCTAATGTTTTTCTTACCTCTTCCTTCTCAGCACTCTGCAGATCACGCCATTCCTCAGTTACATGACCGAAATCCACTGTGTTCATGGGGACTTTAAATTCCCCGATGATGTCATGCTTGGAGAAACGATCAAAATCGTACACAGCCATCACGAGGGTTTTGCCTCCCAATTCCGAATACGGCACCTAAATGAAAAGAGATGAGGATAAAAATCTGGTCACAAAAATGCTTAGAACACATTACTTGTTTATAATATTTAATTTTAATATTTATAAACTGACCAGGGAGATAATTGTGCTTTTGGTATTTTCTTAAATGGAATCATTTGACGAACCGCTTACAGCTTAAATTACTTGGGAGGAAATGGGGACTTCCCTTAGTAATTTATCACTTCATCCCAAACTTCTGGAAGCTGTTAGTATTATTAGTAATGAATCCTATTAGTCATGCTATAAACACTTCAAGATGAATACAATAATAAACCAAGCCAATTTGACTATAAAAAGTTTTCCTTGAAGACTATTTCATTATTGTTGTTAAGTTATATTGTGAGAGTGTAACTTTTTCAAGGTAGATAACTTTCAAGCCACTTGATGCCGTATGATAATGAATTAATGACTTACTAAAAGCTATTCTAGAAGTCTAAAAGGATTTAAATGAAATTCACAAGGTGCCTCACCTACTCTCTAAAATAATTTACTGATTGACAAGAGCTGACTAGAAAATTGATGTTTTGAATATCAGGGATGCATTATAATAGAGATCTTAAAGTTCATTCTTAGGTATGACACTCTTTAGGATGAGTGGTGGCAAAAGCCAAGAACTGATGAATTCTCCAGCTGTTCAAATATATCTGGGACAGCTGCTATGGGTTGGGAGGTTTATTAGTAACATTTTTAATATTCAGGGAAAGCAGTGCAATCTAAGTGAGCTACACTTCAGTAACTGAATAGAAATGCCTAATTAAGAAATTGTTTAGACTTGTATTGAAGGTTTGATCAATTTTCATACACTTTCTATTATTTTATCAGTGTAAATGGTTGTCTTATGCTTCAGCAAACATTGCTCAATTAACTCTGTATATTAAGAAGGAAAGGAGAAGGAAGAATATTGGACCATATATGTATAAGAAATTTTAGTTAACCAAATTTTTTTCTGCCATTGTTAACTATTTGGAATTTGATTAAAATACTACAATTAAGAACTAGGCACAATGCTTTTTCCATTCTTAGTAGAAAAAAATAAACCATTTCAAAGAGTTGAATTTCAAAGAAGAAATAAGGAATTTTAAAGTAGGGATAAACTCTTGAAAATTTTATCTTATCTGCTAAATCTCTTTAGGTGTGTGTGTGTGTGTGTGTGTGTGTGTGTGTGTGTGTGTGTGTGATTGAACTGAGGTAGCATCAATCAAAAACCTGGGCTTAGATAGGGCTGGGTCTGGGTGTCCCAACTTTCCAGCTGAAGGCACTGAGGCAAAGTGAATAAAACTCAGATATTTCATCTGTCAGAATAATAGTGATATAGTAGTGCCTACATCACGGTGCTGTGTGAGGCTGAGTCAATATATTGAAGGTATTTAGCATAGTGTTGGCACGCAGCAGGCACCTAATATTTTTTTGTTTGAATAATTAGTAGCTCCTTCAAGTAGGAGTTTGGGGCATGTAGGGTTCATGTTCAGTGGATTTGAACTCACTTTTCAAAGCCAATCCTCTTTAAACTCTATTGTGCTCCTATTTCTATATCATATTGTCTATGGCATTTCAAGATGCATAATATATAACATCTTATGGATAAATTAGCCAATTCTCTAGAAACAGTGGCATATTCCTTAAATGTATTGAAATATATTGTAGCTTGGTAGGATTTATGACTTGATCAACCTTCTTACAATGAAATGGAACCTGATAAAATTTTATAGGCAATTTTAAATTTCCAATAATTAAACTTCTTGAAGTCAGAGAAATTACTGATAAAATTATTACCAATACATTAAAAAATAAATAACATAGTTAACGCAAACACAAAAGGCCACATAATATTACTTCAAATAATGTAAGAATTTACTTAGTAAATTGTGGTTAGAAATGACTAACATAAATTAAGATTCATACATAGTCAAAATGATTGTGATTATCACTTGCAATTGGTTTAGTTCTGTTTTCATGTTATGTTCTGTAGTATATCGATCATAGCGATTAACTCTTCAGAAGCTGAGTATTTCCAAAATGTTTTTACTGTTATTGTAAATTAACTATTCTAGGCATTGAAAACTGTAGATTTTTAATAGGATTACTTTCATTAGGAACTTTTGTTTATAAAATCTCAAAAGTTTCAGAGTGAATAGAGATACTGCTCTTTTAGAAAATTGGGAACAAAGTTCTATAAAATGACTCATGGCTTCAGAACAGCCATTTCTTTCAGACCAGGATGTTCACTAACATGAGGCACGTGCTTTCTGTAAAGCTGGTTGAGGGACAGGTGGTTTTGCATCAGCCTACTAGGAAGTTATATACATTCCTTTTTTTTCAGAAATGCATTGTTTTAAGTAATGCATCCAAATAGTTTTCTCATATTCAATATATCCATAAAAGAACTATTTGTACGCGTGACTTGTAGACAAGGCCACAGCACTTGTCTATGCAGAGATGCCTGAGGCCTGCAAAGCGCATGTTCCTGTCGAGTTGCTCTATGGCCAGAATCTCTCATTGTTATTATTTGTCTGAACTAAATGAAGAGCACTAAGGAACATCCTAGAGTAAAAGAAGAATGCGGTAAATGCATACAAATAATATGTTCACCTTTTTGTTGAAAGGTTAAGAAGAATGATTTGAGAGGGCTCAGTTTGCCCCTGTGCACACAGAAGTTGGCAATGAGAGAAATGTCTATTTGCACCATATGAACAATGGACATGGCTTACTTTATTCTGTGATTGCAACAGGGTTTACCTATGTTCAGGAACTTTGAAACTTAAAAACAATAATTCCATTATTTTTTGACTTTATTTTATAGAGAGGAAAATGTCAAGCCTATTGGCACACATTTGAAGGTGACCTCACTTTTTCTATGTGGACATGACCTCTCAGTCATATTCCAGTCTGCATTTTATTCTGAATGGCCAAGCTGAATCCTACTTTGGCTAAATCTAAATGCAATGCAAAATCCTCACTGGATGGAAAATAAGAATTTTAAATATTCTGAATAGAATCCCTTTAAATCTCCGAACAAGCGGTCATGTGCATGTCTGTGTAGGTGTCAGGATGAGCTCAGTCGCTTATCTAAAACAACAGAGGAAAAATTAGTAAGTATAAAACAATACCTTGAAAGTAAATTGCTCATTGAAGACAGGATTGAGGGTCTTCCGGTGGACTTTTGTCTCAAATTTCTTCTTTTTGTCGGGCAGCAGAAACACTTTCACATACGGGTCAGATGTGCCGCCCATGTCCAAGGCGGGCAGCTCGGCAGCCTGGATGATCCCGACCAGCAGCTGAAATAAACAACGGATACAGCAAACACAGACATTGGAGGGCATTTTGGAAAAGATTTATTTGTTCACATTGCTGGATATTGTGATTCCTCCCTCTTCCTCTTTGCTTTTAATAAACATTTTTCTCTTATGAATCTGAGCACAGAAGGCAAATGAAGTGAGCTGTACAGACTTCAGAAACCCAATTATGGCAGATGCAGGCTCTAGAAAGCCTGGTTTTAAGCATAAAAGAGGCTTTCAGAAGGTTGCTGATTACAGTTAACTATGGGATTCATAATTGCAAAAGAGTTGCAATCAAATAACTTCCCAGTTGCTAAAAGCCCTTGTGCGTTATTTTTCTTTTAGGGCATGATTTGTAAGTGGAAATAAATTGTTAAACAATCACAAGTGTATAATTATAATGTAGGAAATTTTTATTCTGAACCAAAGCCTCAGATCAACTAACTAGAAATTCCTTAGAAATTAGGTACCTTTTTGAGATAGAAATAAGATCTTCAAGTTTTTATCATATTTGACCTATACTTGTGTGCTGACTACTTTTGTTTTAACTGATAGGAAAATGATTGCCATATATTAAATTCTGTGTTTACATGTAAGACATTGGGTCAAAGAAATATAATTTCAACTTTATGTAAAGGAAGGGAATATTACAGTTATGGTTTTTAATGGTGTGACTAATTTTCTGTGTTTCTTTCCAATACAGCAGAAATATCTGTATTTTTTTCAAGTCTGTTTTCTTAGTGATACATTCTTAAGTCTTGCTATGAATGAGGACACAGGCTGGCATTTTAAATATTTTTGCAAATAAAATAAAAGCTGTGAGTGGACTATTCTAGATGCTCTGACACCACACATTTTGTATCGACAGATTGCTCTAGATCCATATGGGAAACAAAAGTAGACTCTCTTATTGTTCATAATATATAGTCCCCCCCTTCAAAGTATATACAGTTTAATGACTGATAGCCCAATTTTGAAAATGAAATGTACTTTAATAAACACTGATTTTATAATTATTAAAAGTGTGTGTATACATAGTGAAAAAGCCAACAAAGTGAAAAAGCAATTCATCCCCTTCTAAAAAAGTCACAGTTATTTTCTGTAAAACTGACCCACTATGTTTGTAAGTGCATTTGGGTTAGTTGACTCATTTTTTAACCTGGATTAATGCCCTGAATTATTTTTGTTTTGTTTTAATGCTTCAATATCTTTGTGATATCATTATATAACAAATAGCAATAAGAGTATTGGATTGTAGATATACAAAACACAGACAGATGATCAAAGAATAGCTAAAGTAGACATCAGATAATAAAGATATATTTAGTAAATCAAACAATTTGTCTCGGTTTGCCAAATTGGTATCTAGTGTCTGCCTTTAGATTGCATGTGAATAAGCAAGATTGCATGTGAATAAGCAAGATTCTATGTTTTTCTCATTTTGCAAAAAAAATTCTTTTGGGAAGGGAAAGCTCTAGAAATATACCTAAACTCCTTAAAACCAAATCATCTATATTTTAAATATTTTTGGATATTTTGTTGGTTAGCGGTGGAATTTCTTCTTCCAACTCCCCTCTGACTTCTGTCTGAGATAAGTATCACATTTCCCTTCATCATGAAAGCATCTCAATTAGAATACCTTAGAGCTCTCTTTTAGTTTTGGTAACAAATGTGTATATTTGATTACAGCCTTATCTGGGCAGTTCCTCAGACTTTATCTTTCATGACTCATGGAAATCATTTTATAAATCAGATTAGTTGAGAACATTTGGAAAATCAGTGCATAACAATAAAAGTTTCATCAGGTAGAATCTTCTAGATCCTCAGAATAAAATGCCTTTTTAAAGTTGATGTTTGCTAGAATGGGAACAGTAAACACACTTATATATTTGAGTGAAAAAAATCTGTGCTATTATTTTCTTAAAAATTGTATTTTATAAAATAACATTTATAGTACTGAAAGCCAACTTAGAAATTTTAAAATTATGACTAACCAGGATGAGATACCACCAGATTTCTACTGAAAAAGCTTAAAGTAGAATAAATTAATAGAAAAACACTGGATTCATATAAAGAGGCAGGTTAATTCCCAGGAAACATTATATATGTGAAGATAAAATATGTTGACCTTTACCTTCCCTAAAATATATAAAAAGAAATTTTGCTTTCAAACAAGTCCTGATGATCAATTTTGGCATGCGTGATAGAAATGACCTCAAATACCCTGCTTAACTATAAAAGGTATATCTATAGATTTATATAAATCCTTACCTATAAACCTCTATCTTTAACTAATATGCTATTTTCTAAAATGTATTATGAAATAACTAGGCAGGACTGTAATGAAGATGATGAAATAAAATCATTATTTTTTAGTATTTTTATTGATTTCAGAGAGGAAGGGCGAGGGAGAGAGAGAAAAACATCAATGATGAGAGAGAATCACTTATTTGCTGCCTCCTGTATGCCTCCTACTGGGGATCAAGCTCACAACTGGGGCATGTGCCCTGACTGGGAATTGAACTGAGACCCTTCAGTTCACAGGGTGACACTCTATCCCAGTGATGGCGAACCTTTTGAGCTCGGCGTGTCAGCATTTTGAAAAACCCTAACTTAACTCTGGTGCCGTGTCATATATAGAAATTTTTTGATATTTGCAACCATTGTAAAACAAAGACTTATATTTTTTGATATTTATTTTATATATTTAAATGCCATTTAACAAAGAAACATCAACCAAAAAAATGAGTTCGCGTGTCACCTCTGACACGCATGTCATAGGTTCTCCATCACTGCCCCTGAGCCAAACCAGGGAGGGCTAAAATTATTTTTAATATGATAGAACATATCAACACATTCTTCATGAGAAATGTGGAAATTTCAGAAAGTGAAATTTCAGACATTATTTGAACTATCAATTTTTAGATAAAGCCCCGAATTTCTGCAATGGTTTAGAGCTCTCACACAGCATTACTGACTCGGGACATTTGTTGTCAAAGCTGAACCTTCGAGTTTGATTTATCTGTGGTTCATTCCTCATCAAACTGGAAATAATGAACACATGTTGTATTAGTAGTAATTGCATGTACTTTACATTTACCATTTCCTCCTCACCCAAAATGATGAGTGAAGCAAAACAAATTGGAGAGTTTTAAATCTCCCATCTCGAAGAATAAGGCCGACTCCTAAGTATTCTTAAGAGACAGATCTCTAACTTGGCCAGCTCCACTAATTCTTGTCTAGCTTTTTACTTTCTTTAACAATTCAGAAGCTAAAGGAGTATATTCATCAATGTCATAGAATCTGGAAGGCCTTTTTATGTAGAGAGCTTTCTAACAGCTATCTTGGTGCTACTTCTATAACTCAGTCAATAAAAGACAGGTACTATTATTGTTAATGTAGGTGGCACTTCATGGTTTTTGAGAAATTGAAGCAGATGTGCCTGTTTTGTTATCTCCTTTAGTGTTTTGTCACTTTTTGGGCAGTAGTCATAGGCACTAGAAATCGGGTTCCCAGTCTTTTTACTGTTCTAGACCTTCTATCTTATTAGCATCAAGAGTTTGACCTAATATCATGATATTATTACACAAGGCATGCCTTTGAAATTCGTGAATTTCAATTTTCCATCTTTGATTCCTGTCATACTGATACATTATGTTTCAAAACTTTGACTTGAATGGTGGCATAACACAAAGGCCCCTCACCCTGTTTGGATCTAAATCCATGAAGTGCAAGAAAGATTGTTCTAGCTAAGGCTGTGAGGGGTGAGACTGTGGTGGGAGCTCTCAGAATAAGTCTGACTGCTTCAAGTTAATTTGTATTCTGCCTGCCTATTGTAAGTGCCATACATTAGATGTAATCAGTTGAATACTGTGAATTCTAATTACCAAATGTTAAATTAGCAAGTAGGGGACTGTCTGTACTCAGAAATTATTTCATCAATAGCTTTGATAATTGCATTTTCCCCTTGCAGCCAACAAAATGTTTTAGAAAGTAACTTGCTTCAATTTCTACTTGGTAATTTCAGACAATGTAATGGAATTAGAAAACATTCCCCCCTCAGACCTGGTTATTCTGGAAATCATAATCCAACGAGTATTGAAGTTTTCCCAATTTCTCATCTTCTTTGGGTTCTTCTTTTTCTTCCCCATCAGTCAATCCGGTTTCAGCATCATCATCCTTAAGGGCCTATGAGTAGGGAAATGGATTGTATGTGAATTCAAGTGAATTTTCATCAAAATCCAAATTAAACTGGGCTTGTGGTTATACTTCCAAGCTGTCAAAAGCAAGCACCAAGATGCTGGAAATCTCAATTTGTCTGACACACATTCACATTTGATGCTTACATATTTTTTAAAAATTCCATTTGTGCATGGAATTCCCCCTCCCCCCACTAGCAAGCAACATGGAAGCAATGGAAGAAGCCCCTAAGAATATTGCAAGCAAAAAATGTAAAGTTGTTGCAAATGTCAACTTGGTATTATATTTGGCTCTGCTAAAACTTGCTTATTTCAGAATTATAATAAACATGCTATTAACCAGGCCAGGTTTCACATTCATGTAGGTTAAAGCAATTGATGCTAACCATCATGTAGAACCATTGTTACATGCAGTGGAGTAATTTATATGAAATGTGTGGCCTTTTGTTGCCTTGTTTCCTATGAAAAAACAGTTGAGTAAGTGATTCTCAGAAAAATTTAATTTGTTATGTTTCATATATACATGTGCAATGGTTATGGAAAAACAGGAAAAACATGCCACCAGCAAATGCATGTTTAGAGAAAGATCTACCCCATTTCCAGTCTAAGTTTACCATTTTGTTTTCATAACAGCTCCATAGAAAGCTAGGCTGAATTAAATTGATTTATGGGTCCATTTGATATCAAAAAAAATAAAAAGTTATGTTTGCAATTTTGTTAAACTGAAATCTGTATAAAAGGTTATTTTGCATTAATGAATAAAAATTTTGGGACTGAACTCCCAAAACTCAGTTTGTATCAGTTGAATAATTTTTATAACCTAAAACTTAAGTGTAATATACATTGAAACACTAGAAAGCTCATTATTTCATAAAATACATTAAAATGCTCCTCTTTTAAAAAATAAAAATATATAATATTTCCCCAATAAAGTGAAAATATTTTGCTAAATAATTAAAGGTTATAAAGGTTATAAATATTACTAGTAAAAGCTCTGTTACTGGGAATATTCATTCTACTGCTTTAAAGAATTAAAAAAAAGAATCAGAAGTCAATGAGGAATTATTATTCAAAATTAAAACTGATAGTGTTACATACCCCTAACCATTAGTCAAGTTGACAAAAATTTTAAGTCTTTATTTGGACCATTTTATTCTTTTCTTCTAGAGACTGCCAATATATAGCCATTAGTAATCTTTCTGTTGTTGGTTACTTTTTATTGATTTGTAGGGACTCTTTGTATTTTAGTAGTTTCTACCTTTCTGTTATATATAGAAAATATTTTCTCTTAGTTTTTGGTTATGGCATTTTTCTTGCCGTGTGTGTGTGTGTGTGTGTGTGTGTGTGTGTGTCTGTAGACCTTCACAGGAATCAAGTTAAGACATATGAGTGGTAGACTGTTTTATATCTCTGACAAAGTAAGCGAATCTTAATTCTTGTCAGCAATCAAATAAACCTGAGCATTCTTGTAGAACTTGAACCTAAGAAGCATAACTGGGCTTCAGAAAGGCATTGGAATCATTAAACCACAGTTCAACCACTCAGTAGCTCCCACCACTCTCAGCTCCCAAATGCATGTTCTTTTTTTCTGCTGAGAGAAGACTTTTCTGTTGACTTATCCATTCACACAGAGACCCTCAGTGGTGCTTCCAAATGGCACCCTCAGTCTCTCAGTTGACAAGATTTTCCAGTTTGGCTTTACCCAGTGAACTCCAATTTGATTCCAAAAAAACCGAGACTTGCTGGCATCATATTAATACACTTGTTTGTATGGGAAGATCAGATAAACAGAGTTGAGCTGTAGTCAGAGATGCTTTTCTTTTGTGCTTCCTGAAAAATTTCAGGAGCTTACAATGAGTAGGAAAAACAGAAAATGACCATTAATAGATTAGTGTAAAATGTTAAAAAAAATTTGGTTAGTCATATACTATTTAATTGGAAAATTTTAATTTATACATCAATGTTTTCTTGAATAATAAAATGTTGATTTACTGATAGCCAAAGGCAGGAAACAACATAATTATTTAAAAATTTATGCTAATCTTTTAATTTTTGTGTGGGGTGTCACTAAAGTGAAAAAAAAAAAAGATTACTGAAACCTTAGCTGTGTGTAAGTCTTTAATGCTGTTATAAATGTGCTTAGAAAATTGTAGCTTAGGTAATTTGCCTCCCTGTAAGATTTTAATTTTTTAAAAAAATAATAGCAAACTAATGCATACTTCTGTCTGAAATATCTGCACATTACTATAATAAAAGATTTTATGGATTAAAATACTTTTTCAAAAGCCTCCTTCAGAACTGATGATTTGCATATCATGTTTCAGCCCAGTGCGATTTGAAATAGCTGAGATATTAAATCTCCTTCTCCCTAAGTGGTTTTTGCCCTAATAAAAGGTGCAGGACCATCTCTGCAATTATTCTGCATGAAACAGGTCTAAATTTTTTATAATTTCTCAGTGCCACTGTTCATCACTGCAGTGATTAAGTCTATTCTTGTCCCAAAGGCTGAGTTTAACCAAGACATTTTCTGTACTATCACATTAAATTCAGGCCTATTAAATCAGTGGCCATTATAATATCTCGAGAGCAATACCAGCCCCCCTCCCTCCCCCAATGGAACAAAATGCAGAAGAAACAGCTTGTAAACCCAGCAGTTCTGAGAGTTTGATAAATTGCTGTAGAAAAAGCTGTGCTGGGAACATCGACCTTGTTTTAAATTTCAAAGATTTAGTGCACATGCTTCTGGCTTGCTTCAACATTCAAAAGGTGCTTAGTTCACAACCATCAGAAGGAGCACTTGTTCATTCTAAGTCAAATTGTTCAGATTTGGCATTGATAGGGCACAGTAAAAAGAGATCAACAAAGGAATGAATTTTCTTTTTGTGCCCATCAGTTAAAAACTTGAGCTTTCTAATAATACTCTACTTAACTAGTTAATAATATTTAATATGAGAACCCTTCATCTTTAAAAAAAAATCAATTTAGTTCAGCCTTGATGTGTGTCAGAATGGTCCACCCTCAGCTGTGGAGTCCCAGCTGCCAGGCCACTAGATATATCCGAGCGTTGACTTAGGTGTGTCTAAGTAGCAGAGGAAACCTACCGCAAGGGACAGTCCAGAACAGTCATGAGACACAACACAGATAAGGAGGACATAGAAGGAAGAAATAAAAATTAAAGTATCTACACACATTAGTGAAAGCAATGGAGAAAGGACCTTTCCAGACCTATGACTTTCCAAGTTGATATTTTTCCTCTGTATTTTTAGTGTTCTGAAGTTTTAAGACATTAACAAAATCTTAAATATATATCTTTTTCTGTGTAAATACTATTTATAGTTTTTTATTGTCATTGAAAAATATTAAATATCTTCCTTGGTTATAAAATTTTACCTTAGAGACATGCAGCCATGAACAATGAAATTTAAATTTCTGTGACATTTTATATGGATTGAAATAGTAAAATCATTGATTTTCCTAAACCTAAGTATCTTAAGAAATTGTATCTAAATTCCCTCTCACATCTGTTTTTAAATAAGCACATCATCTTTCCCATGTTCATATCAACGTTCTGTTTAAAAATATTCTAAATAATATTTAAAAATAATTTTACTTTGTGTTAAGGCTGTTTTGAATTTGTATGATCAAATGTGATAGAGCATCTTAAAATCTTTGAGTTACAGTTTGCTTCTTCATCCTTCCCCTTCATAAAATGATAGAACCCATTATTAGCTATTTTGTCTGCCTTAAAAAAGCATCATAAGGTACTGTTATATCACTGTTTACACATGGAGCCTACTTTCACTTATCCAAACATTTAATTTAATTGTTTGTAAATCATTTAACATTTAATTGTTTATAAATCAAAATAAAACCTATAAAATCCTATGTAGACAAACTGATTTACTTAAAATAATTAAGTACCTTTTTGCGGGTTGAAATCCTAAATGCTATGTTGTGACAGTAAATTGCTATAAACTATCACTGATGTCTTAATATTTTCTTATTTGACTCATTTATCTTCCCCTCTCATTTAAAGGAATAGGTGACCAGTGAAAAATTAGCTACAGTCAATTCTCTGTATTCATTACTTTTGAGATCTTGGTCATTTATCCAGGTTATAACAGAGGTGATAAACACTGGTACTATTTTATAAACTACTAGAGGCCCGGTGCATGAATTTGTGCATGACTAGGGTCCCTCGGCCTAGCCTGTGGGATCAGGTCAAAACTGGCTCTCCGACATCCCCCGAGGGTTCCCAGACTGGGAAAGGGTGCAGGCCAGGCCAAGGGACCCCACCGGTGCACGATCGGGGCCAGGGAGGGATGTGGGAGGTTGGCCAGCTGGCTAGGGACCACGGGAGGGCTCCAGGGTGTGTCCAGCCCACCTTGCCCAGTCCTAATCAGCTGGACTCCAGCAGCAAGCTAACCTACCAGTCAGAGCGTCTGCTCCCTGTTGGTCACTGCACATCATAGCAAGCAGATGAGTAGCCTTAGCATATCATTAGCATATTACACTTTGATTGGTTGAATGGACAACCAGACGACTGGACACTTAGCATATTAAGCTTTTATTATATAGGATAGTCTTTTATGTCATACAGAAAAAATTTCACAATGAAAAATACAAATTTCTTGTCTTAGGAAAAAACATTATAGTTATTTAATATAATGTTAATATGATAGTTACTCAATGTTAATATAATCTATCTATATAATAAAAGCGTAATATATTAATTAGACCGGACAGCTGAAAGACCTTCCGGATGTCCTTCCGGATGACCTTCTGGACGAAGCCAGGGCTGTGAGGGCCGGCCAAGGCTGTGAGGGGCTACAAGGGCCAGCCAAGGCTGCTAAGGGCTGTGAGGGCCGGCCAGGGCTGCAAAGGCTGGCTGAGGCAGCTGGGGCTGTGAGGGACGAGCCCCTTGCACGAATTTCATGCATCAGGTCTCTAGTAAATATATAAAAGCCTAAGCAACCGTTATGACAGATTGAACAACTGGTTGGCCGGCCAGTAGCTATGATGTGCACTGACCACCAGGGGGCAGAAGCTCAACACAGGAGCTTCCCCCCTGGTGGTCAGTACACTCCTACAGCCAACCTCCTGTGGCTAGCCAACCTCCCACGATCCCTCCCCCTGGACTGGAGGAGATGGCCCTGATTGACCCTGATTGATCGCTGGCCAGGCCAAGGGACCCCACCTGTGCATGAATTCGTGCACTGGGCCTCAAGAATAATTATATTATCAAATAATATAATATTATTCGATACTTTAAACTTTTAATTTCAGGATACTGGGATTTTAATTTTATTGTAGTTACGAAAATGATAGTATTATATTTTCAACCTATTGTTTGACATATATAGTTGAAATTCAAGTAAAAATGATTCATTTCATGTCCATATTGAAGATTGCTTCTACACTTATTCCAATACGTTGTTTAAATAAATCTGTATCAAGTCCTACTTGCTATGGACATATTGAAATAAAGTAAGGGATGACTTAAAATCCCAGTTTCTATGTAACAGATTAACCAGAAAGAAAAGTCCTTATTAGACACGTGTGACTTAACTTTTGTGCATTGGATTCTATGGTTGTGATTAGAAACTTTCAGAAAAATGTAACTTTTCTTACTCTGAGCTCAGAACAGAGCTCGCTGAGCGTGAGCACTAGCCTTACATCCACTCTATAGCCCCGAGACCTAACAAAAGTTCAGGGAGTGAAAAATGAGCTTTGTGAAATTATTTTCGATAGACATGACTGTGTCTTTGAGAAAAAGTGTTTAAAACTCGAACTGGGGTGGGGGGTTATTGTCCTGAGTGAGTGATTAACTAGGAAACTACGCAAATGTACTAAGATGGCTTTGTTGATTCAATTGTTCCAAAGATTCACATATTTAAGAGTTTACTTAATAATAATTAATACTATAAGACGAGTATATAAAACTGCATATATATGTTGCTATTTTGAAATAAATAGAACTTTTGAATTATTTGAAGGGAAACATTGAAAACTAAAAATTTTATTTCTTTGAAAAATCTTTCCATATTTTAATATGAATGAAATGTTATTTAGAAATATCCATGGTGAATCTGATTCAAAAAAACTGAAGAGGCACTTAATCATTATAATTATTAATAATAAAGTATTCTGAATCAAATCATTCAGTTAATTTAGTAAAAATACACAATATAAAGGACATCCAAACAGCTTCCTTAGAAAATAACCCAGCCAGATTGATTTTATAATCTTTGTTATGGTTTTAATTGTTCCAATGTGAGGAAATAAGAATTTTGCCTTTAAATTCTACCCTGTTCTTTAGGGCCAGCTCATACTTTTCTACCTTTCCTGTATCATCCATTATTCCTAAGCACTAATTATTGAGCTGGATGGATACATACCATGGGTAACTTTCATCAAGTATGATAAACACATTTAAGAATCAGTTATCTAATAGCGATCAAGAACAGTGATAATGCGGGCAACCTGCTTGGATCCCCTCCCTGCAGCAAGAAGCTTTTCTGTAATAAAACTTTATCTCAAAAAAAAAAGTGATAATGCTAGAAAGGTGACCTGCCCAAGAGGGATAACACTCAGATATTCTTTAACATGTTTCTCAAACTCTAACACAATTAAGACTGGCTAAGCAGTTGTAATCAGAATATTCAGGCATCATTCCAATATGCTGACCCATCAAGAGGGTCATGGAAGCCCTTTTCTGGTTTATATGCTTAGGAGACTCGAAAAACCCTACCAAATATTTCCATTGCACTTTGGGATATTGAATAATGGCTGAAAGGATTGCAAAGCATCTCTAAAACAATGTTATTTGTCCAGAAGTTGTTCATTTCTATACTTATCTCACATAAAAGAGCAAACCATTTATTAATTCCAATAAAATCTAAGGAGAACTATGGAATGAATACATTACCTGATCTTTCATGGTCTTCCCTAAGTCTTTCACATCTTTCATGTTAATGGCATTCTTTCCTCCCTTTTCCTTTCCCTTCTTCTTGTTTTTCTTTTTGAACAAACATTTCTTGCAGATACAAAAGCAGCAGGTCAGGACTAAAAGGACCACGACTATGGCTATGGCAATTAAGGCCCATGGTGGCACTGAAAGAAAAACATGTACAGAAAACATTAGTAGTAAAATACACATGCAAAACTTTTAACTTATGGGCTATAAAGATATTCACTCATTCATTTCCATTCATTGAGCACCTGTTATGCTCTAGTCTAGGTGCTCTGTTCTGCATTACTTTAATAGTTTCTGATGCCTATAGTGTTTATATATATTGTTTTGATTTTGCCCTTCCAGATATGTCTTCCTCCCTATTGCTTTTCCTGCTCATCCCAGCTATATTTTCATTAATCCTTTCCTTCATTCATTCAGAGCATTGCTTTGGAGTTTGACCTCTGATTTCAAATCCTGGCTTCACCATTTACTAGCTGCGTAACCTTGAACAAGTTGTCTAACTTCTTCTTGCCTCAGTTTCTTCATCTCTAAGGTGGAGGTAAATTGGTAGATAGCTCATAGTCTTTCTGAAGTTTAAAATAAGATGCAGTGCCTGGCACATGGTAAAAGTTTGATAAATATTAGTTGTTATTACTTACTAGTAAGTACTAGGGGTTCTATGATGTCTGGGCATGATGGGAGTGGAAGCCATTAATCAAACATAAAGACAGATGTAACATCACAATGGTAGAGAAGGTTAGAGGATCCTTGAGGATCCACTCAGGATCTCCAGAGGCAGGGCAGTGGTTCTGTGCTCAGTGGCTCTCAACCATGGTTGATACAGGCTTGGACACTTACAGGCCGTGCAACTCTGGCCAGGTTGACCTCACTGTTCTGAGTTTCTGCTTCCTTCTCTATAAAGCGAAGGTAATAGTGGTACCCACTTTATCTATCTTGAAGATGAAAGGAGTTAATGTATTAAAAAGTTTAGAATGGCATCCAGCACATAGCAAGGACTCAATGTTAGCTGTAATAACTCAAGACATGGAGCTAAGTACAGTGAGTACAGCTCAGAGTACATGTGGGGACATAAAACATGCACACCAATAAATACGTAAAAGGAGAGATGAGTTCACTGAGTGAAATTCAGTGGGTATGCGAGTGGGTCTGAGAGGGGGAGAAATGATCGTTAGGCAAGGGGAGGTTTCCAATTTATAGGCTCTGTTGAATATAGGCATATACACTGAGTGGCCAGATTATTATGACCACCTGACGTTTGTAGGCAAATTAGCTATAATTTCGCGCTGAAGTTGCTAGAGGGCCAGACCATTATAAATAGGGAAGCAGGTTGTTTATCAC